AAAGCTGATCGTTTTGTGTTCATTTTGTTTAGTTCTTTTTTCGTAACAGATTTAATTTTTAGTATAGAGCTTAGAAAAATACGCTGTGTGAGATAGGCAAGAAGTAAGGCATGTAGCAACATCAGCACGGCAAAGGGCACTCCTTTAAAGGCAAAGAAGGGCAAAAATAATTTAAAGTCAAGTGATAGCGATTGCTGTATGAGTCGTACGATTTTTTAATCAAGCACGGGCAACGCCGGGCCATGCTGCTAATGTAAAATATGTGTTTTTTTTTTTTATTTTACAGTTCCTCAATGGAAAGTGTCATGATGCCTTTCCTGACCTTAGGTCTCTGGTCGGGAGCCGAAAAGAAATCAGTATACACCAGAAATCAAAGGAAAGGAAAGGAAAGAAGAAAGAAAAAAGAAGGAGGGGGAGAAGGAGAAAAAGAAGGATAAAAAGAAGAAGAAGAAGAGAAGAAGATCAAGAAAAAGAAAAAGAAAAAAGAAGAAAAAGATGAAGAAAAAGAAAAAGGAGAAAAAGAAGAAGAAAAAGATGAAGAAAAAGAAGAAGAAGGAGAAAAAGAAGATGAAGAAAAAAAGAAGAAAAAGAAGAAGAATATGATGAAGAAGAAAAAGAAGAAGAAGGAGAAAAAGAAGAAGAAGATGAAGAAGAAGTCCCAAATAGAATATGTCACTCAAAATGATTGACTTAATCACATGCATCAAAGAGATTGGTAAGCAAATGTCTTTCGTTCCAGTATTCCTATCGGGAGAAAACGTCTCAAGAAATTTTGAAGATTAGTTTCATGAGGAGATAAGCATGCGCAAGGTTTCTGATTGGGATTTTCTTATTGATCTTTACTGGACACTTTCAGTTGTACAATGGAATTATGACCGACATTTTATTTTCAAAATCAGTCCTGTTTCAAATAGGAGGTTTTCGAAAACCTTGAACAACTCAGCAGATCCTTAAGAGCAGTGTTTGAACATTCAAGCACCGTCTTCACAAATAGTACTCCATGAGCAATATCTTTGTCACTTTCAAATAAACTACTACCGCTGTTAATTTAGAAATACATCTGTAAGATAACCGCAGGTACATCATCAGTGATGTTACCCTGGGATCCTTAGGAGTTTTAGGTTTATTCCACATCAGATCCCTTCACTGAGGTTAATCTGCTGGTGCTGATCAAATACCAACATATGACTGGGAAACGAACCGTGTAAAATAATAATAATAATAATAATAATAATGATAATAATAAACAAAGTTCCATCAGCCATGACACAAACAAAAATGAGGCAAGAGTGAGAAAAGATAATGACAGAGGATGAGATACAAACTAAAATAGATGAGGTAGGCAATAATAATCTCCCAGGAAATAAAACGAACGATTCTAGTTGCGACATAAACAATTTCACTGATTCAGATTCTGCCATTGATGAAGATGAATCAAGCGACATACGAGCAGAATTCCTTGAAAACAACAGAGTTGAAATCCCTGAAACGAAAAACCAAATCATTGAAATAATCAGCAAAGTAATTCGCACAGAAATGTCAGAAAGAAACAGGCTTTCAAAATTCAAATGACGAAGTCCAATAAACATTCTGTGTAAGCATATAATGCCGCATTGAAAATATTGTTATCGGAGAGACAATTGGAAATCATCATAGTAAATAAGGTAATGCAAGAGCTTTGGTAGCTACTGAAAAAAAAAACTTAATGTGAAGACAAATAAATGATTTAACAACAGACATAAAAATGTAAAGAAATCAAATGTGAATTATCGATACTAGATGAGATTTCAATAAATTCAAATCTTTCAACATGGAAAAAATTTCAAGCAGAAATATCATAAATAAAGCAGTAAGTTAAATTCACCTTATCAAGGAAATACTTTAAGGGAAACTGCAGTTAAAGCCACAGAGAACAAGACAATACGAAAAAAGATTTACGTTCTATGGTCAAAATAAGATATTCCAAATGAACCTCCGTCTTAGGTATGACGATAAACTACATCCGCGTCCTGGGTAAGACGATAAACTACATCCACGCCCTGGGTAAGACGATAAACTACATCCATGCCCTGGGTAGGACGATAATCTACATCCGCGTTCTGGGTATGACGATAAACTACATCCGCGTCCTAGGAAAGACGATAAACTACATTCGTCACCTGGGTAAGACGACAAACTACATCCGCGCGCTGGGTAATACGATAAACTATATCCACGTACTGGGTAAGAAGATCCGCGTCCTGGGTTAGACGATAAACTACATCTGCGCCCTGGATATGACGATAAACTACATCCGTGTACTGGGTAAGACGATAAACTACATCCGCGCCCTGGGCAAGACTATAACCTGCATTCAACAGCAAGGTCTCTGATCAGAATGTTTTTGATGAGCGTGGAACTACCTCTTATTTGGTGGTGTTTCCCGGTCCATCCTGACCCGGGATGGCAGCACCTGTTATGGATCCCATCTATGAAGAAATAGTTAATCCCCAAAACAGGAGTCAAAAATAGTGTAAAAATAGTTTTTAATACCAGCAAAACATTTTTGCAAAAGATTACTACCAGCAATAGATTCTTGAAGAAAGAACAATTAGTAGAAATACATTTTTGCAAATAAAAAAAATATATATATTACCAGCAATAAAAAATCTTGTCGGCTTTAAAGTCTCCATTGAGGTTGATATGCCGTAAAACAAAATAAACCAAACCAATCTAACCCAAAGAATACATAATCTCTTCATACGAATCTATCCCAAAAATGTTGTCGGCATTAAATAACCCATTGAGGTTGTCATGCCTTAAAACAAAATAAACCCAACCAATCTAAACCAAAGAATAAATATTCTACTCATACGAATCTATGCTTAAAAGGTTGTCGGCATTAAATAACCCACTGAGGTTGATATGCCGTAAAACAAAATAAACCAAACCAATCTAAACCAAAGAATACATATTCTATTCATACGAATCTATCCTAAAAATGTTGTCGGTATTAAATAACCCATTGAGGTGTTGATATGCCGTAAAACAAAATAAACCAAACCAATCTAAACCAAAGAATACATATTCCACTTATAGGATCGTATCCTTAAAATGTTGTCGGCATTAAATAACCCATTGAGTTTGATATGCCGTAAAACAAAATAAATCAAACCAATCTAAACCAAAGAATACATATTCTATTCATACAAATCTATCCTTAAAATGTCGGCATTAAATAATCCATTGACGTTGATATGCCGTAAAACAAAACAAACCAATATTTACTGAGATAGATAAGTGTTCTTTCTACCCAATTTCACTCAAAAGGAATTGGTACTATGGTTTTAAGGCAATTTCCAAAGGTCTCGGATGCGAGAAGCATAACCTCCAGAAAGCGAACGTTCTAGCATATATATATATATATATATATATATATAGAGAGAGAGAGAGAGAGAGATGTCATTCTCAGTGCGACTAGACAACCGAGTGCATCAAGCCAGGATTGAAACCCAACCGAGTTTCTACCACTGAGCTATCTTCATTCAACAGAATCAGGCAGCTAAATTTAGCTATTTGTTTTTAAAAATGTAAAGAAATGTCAATCAGCCGAGTGCTCCATTCATTTTACCTGAGAGCTTCGCATTAACGCAGGAGGCTGTTGTTTGTAGAATTATCTTGTCATTCAACAGTGCTCAATTGAAATATATTTTCAAGAGCTAAATCATATATATATATATATATATATATATATATATATATATATATATATACGCACTACAGTTTGAACCCACCTCCACAATTAGCGTGGGATGAACTTGACAGACGAGTGAACAAAAATAAAAATAAAATGGAAAACACCACTTAGAATCATTGAAAAAAATGGAATTAATTATCAAACTGAGACTGAAAAAGTCTTGCGATGGGTGACAAAAATGTGTGCAGCAGTAATCAAGTCTGAAAGAGGATATTTTCAAGAGCAAAATTTAATCATAAAATTCACTTTTTTTTTATTTTCATAATAAAATTTGTAATAAAAATTATCTAAAATGCATAACTAACTACATTTTCGGCCATTTTAACATAAACATAACAGGCTGGCCCGAAACTCTTGGTCTGTTTTATATATATATATATATATATATATATATATATATATATATATATATATATATATATATAAAAGTGAACATAGAAGTCAACACTTAGAGGCGACAGTCTGTTTCATGCTATATGCAATCGTCAGGTCAGATGGCCTGACTATTGCATCTAAGTGTTCCGACTTCTATGTTCCTTTTATATTTACACACACGCTCTATCTCTGATATCACATAAATATAGCACATCTTATGACTATATTTCTTTATATATATATATATATATATATATATATATATATATATATATTCATCATATATATATATATGTATATATATATATATATATATAAATATATAATATATATATACATATATATATAATTCATATAAATATATATATATAAAAAATCATATATATATATATATATATATATATATATATATATATATATATATGATGCATTAGACTCCTTTTCAGAAACATTAACAGGTTTTGACCAGGTCGCTCGCTAATGTAAGGGATGTTGAAACTCCTGATCTGTAGTATATATGTATATATATAAAGATCGAGGTCGATCTGAAATACCAAATGTAGATAAATACTTTCATAAAAAAACATTATTATTTTTAATTTGCAACTTTTTAGCTGTTTTATATATATATATATATATATATATATATATATATATATATATAGATAGATAGATAGATAGATATAGATATATTCATCACACACACACACACATATATATATATATATATATATATATATATATATATGATGAATTAGACTCCTTTTCAAAAACATTAAGAGGTTTTGATAGGTCGCTCGTTAATGTAAAGGATGTTGATGCGTGTGTGCCTGTGTTTGTTTATTTGAGTAAGATTTTTTATAGCTAGATACATTATTTTTCGAAATGCATGTTAATGTCCAAGAGGTTTGGAGGAGCCGTAAGTTATGTAGATAAAAAATCAAGTTTCTACGCAGCAGATCGTCTCCTCCCCTATTCAATAGATTGATAGATAAAAGTATAATGAGAAAATATTTTTTTTATTTTTCTAATGTGTGTGCGCGCATTTGCTTGCGTCTGCGAACCAGTGTTTGCTTCTGTTATCACAGATAAAAAATTATGAAATCAAATAATTTTCATGGTATACAATCGATATTCGATTTGCAGACTGATGCAGCCATTTTCCTTTTTATTCTCAACACGAATTCAATTATGTTATAATTAATAAATATTTCATTCGATGTCGACCTCTGCATATATATATATATATATATATATATATATATATATATATATATATATATATATATATATCTACATTTTCTCTTTTCCATTTTCCTTTCTTTCTCTCCCTGATTCTCCTTCCCTACATTTCTCTTTTTTTTCCTTTCTTTTCTATACTCTTCTCCATTTCCTCCTCCTTCCTCCTCCTCTTACAATTCTACTAAGACTTTTCCCCACATTTTCTCTTCTCCATTTTCTCTCTCCCCTCCATTTCCCCTATTTTTTCTCTCCCACCTTCTCTCAATTCTCTCCAACTCTTTTCCCCCCACTTTTTTTCTCTTCTCCATTTCCCCTCCCTCCTCTCCCCATCCTTCTCCTTTTCTCGATTTCCCTCCACATTCTTCTTCTCCTCCCCCACTTTATCTTCTACTATCCCCTCCACGTTCTCCTCCATCTCTACTAAAACTTTCCCAGACTTTTTTCTTCTCTGTTTCCTCCAACCTCCTCCTCCTCTCCTTTCCCAGACTTTTTTTTCTTTCCTCTTTTCCTCCAACCTCTCTAATTCTCCTCCAACTTTCTAAAACTTTCCCAGACTTTTTTTTCTTCTTTTTCCCTCTCTTCTCCCAACTTTCCCCCAGACCTTTTTCTTCTCTGTTTCTCCAACTCCTCCTCCTTTTTCCTCTCTGTTTCCCTCCAACCTCTCTCGTTCTAACTCTACTAAAACTTTCCCAGACTTTTTTTTTCCCACTTTTCCCTCTTCTCCATTCTCCTCCAACCTCTCCTTTTTTTCCTCTCTGTTTCCCTCCTCTCTACGTTCTCCTCAACTCTACTAAAACTTTCCCAGACTTTTTTTTCTCTCTGTTTCCTCCAACCTCTCTCCGTTCCCTCCAACTCTACTCCTTTTTTCTTCTCTGTTTCCCTCCCTCTCTACGTTCTCCTCCAATTCTACTAAAAACTTTCCCAGACTTTTTTCCCCTCTGTTTCCTCCATTTTCTCCTCTTCTCCCCAGACTTTTTTTTCTTCTCTGTTTCCCTCCAACCTCTCCTTCCCAACTCTACTAAAAACCCAGACTTTTTCTCTCTGTTTCCCTCCAACCTCTCTACGTTCTCCTCCAACTCTACTAAAACCCTCTCTACAATCCTCTACTAAAACTTTCCCAGACTTTTTTTCTTCTTTCTCCCCCTCCAACTTCTCTTTCCCATTTCTCCCTCCTCTCCCTCTCTTTCTTCTCCTCCAACTCTACTAAAACTTTCCCCTAGACTTTTTCTTCTCTTTCCTCCAATTTCTCCTCAACTCTAAGACTTTCTTCAATTCCTCATCCGTTCTCCTCCAACTCTACTAAAACTTTCCCAGACTTTTTTTCTCTTCCCTCCATTTCCTCAACTCTACTAAACTCTTTTTTTTTCTTCTCTGTTTCCCCAACCTCTACATCTTAAAACTTCCCAGACCCTTTTCCCTCCATTTTTTCCCAGACTCTCTCCCCTTTCCCTCCTCCAACTCTCTAAAACTTTCCCAGACTTTTTTCTTCTCTTTTCCTCCAACCTCCTCTCCTCCAACTCTATTAAAACTTTCCCCACTTTTCCCTCCAACCTTTTTCTCCTCCAACTCTACTAAAACTTTCCCCAGACTTTTTTTCTCTGTTTCCCCTCCAACCTCTCTTCGTTTCTCTCAACTCTAAAACTTTCCCCACTTTTCTCTTCCTCCAACCTTCCTCCTCCAACTCTACTAAAACTCCCAGACTTTTTTCTTTCCTCCTTCAATTTCTCCAACTCTTCTAAAACTTTCCCAGACTTTTTTTTTTCTCTGTTTCCTTTCCCTCCAACTCTACTAAAACTTTCCCCAGACTTTTTTTTTCCTCTCTGTTTCCCTCCTTCTACGTTCTCCTCCAACTCTACTAAAACTTTCCCAGACTTTTTCTCTTTTCCCCAACCTCTTTCTCCTCCAACTCTACTAAAACTTTCCCAGACTTTTTTTTTCTCTCTGTTTCCTCCAACCTCTCGTTTCTCCTCCAACTCTACTAAAACTTTCCCAGACTTTTTTTTTCTCTGTTTCCTCCCACCTCTCTACGTTCTCCTTCTCCCAAAACTTTCTTTTTTCCCTCCAACCTCTTCCCCAACTCTACAACTTTCTTCTTTCTTCTCCTCCTCAACCTCTACTACCTTCTCCTCCACTTTTTTTTCCTCTCTGTTTCCCTCCCACCTCTTTTCTCCTCCAACTCTACTAAAACTTTCCCAGACTTTTTTTTCTCTGTTTCCCTCCAACCTCTCTACGTCCCTCTACTAAAACTTTCCCAGACTTTTTTTCTCTCTGTTCCCTCAACCTCTCTACTAAAACTCCAACTCGTGCTTTTTTTCTCTCTGTTTCCTCCAACCTCTCTACGTTCTCCTCCAACTCTATCTTTCTTTTTTCTCTGTTTCCTCCAACCTCTCTACGTTCTCTCCAACCTCTAAAAACTTTCCCAGACTTTTTTCCTCTGTTTCCTCACCTCTCTACGTTCTCCTCCAACTCTACTAAACTTTCCCCCACTTTTTTTCTTCTCTGTTTCCTCCGTTCTCCTCCAACTCTAAAACTTTCCCAGACTTTTTTTCCTCTGTTTCCCTCCAACCTCTCTGTTTCTCCTCCAACTCTACTTTCCCAAAACTTTCCCCTCCAGACTTTTTTTTTTTCTTCTTCTCAACCTTTCCTCCAACCTCTCTTTTTTTCCTCTCTTCGTTCTCCTCCAACTCGACTAAAACTTTCCCCAAGACTTTTTCTCCTCTCTCTTTCCCAGTTTTTTTCTTCTCTGTTTCCTCAACCTCTCTACGTTCTCCTCCAACTCTAGTAAAAACTTTCCCAGACTTTTTTCCTCTCTGTTTCCTCCAACCTCTCTACGTTCTCCTCCAACTCTACTAAAACTTTCCCAAACTTTTCTTCTTCTCTGTTTCCTCCAACCTCTCTTTCCCAGACTTTTCCTCTGTTTCCCTCAACTCTACGTTTTTCCTCAAAAAACTTTCCCAGACTTTTTTTCCTCTCTGTTTCCCCTCCACCTCTCCCTCCTCCAACTCTCTTTCCCAGACTTTTTTTTCTTCCTCCTCCAACTCTCTACGTTCTCCTCCAACTCTAGTAAAACTTTCCCAAACTTTTTTTCCTCTCTGTTTCTTCTTCTCCTCCAACTCTACTAAAACTTTCCCAGACTTTTTCTTCTCTGTTTCCTCCAACCTCTCTTCGTTTTCCTCCAACTCTACTAAAACTTTCCCAGACTTTTTTTCTGTTTCCCTCCAACCTCTCTTCGTTTCCTCCAACTCTACTAAAACCCCAGACTTTTTTTTCTCTACCTCTCGTTCTCCTCCAACTCTACTAAAACTTTCCCAGACTTTTTTTCTCTCTGTTTCCCTCCAACCTCTCTACGTTCTCCTTTTTTCCCAGACTTTTTTCTTCTCTGTTTCCTCCAACTCTCTCTTTCCCAGACTTTTTTCTTCTCTCTGTTTCCCTCCAACCTCTCTACTTCTCCTCCAAACTTTTTCCCAGACTTTTTTCTTCTCTGTTTCCCTCCAACCTCTCTACGTTCCTCCTCCAACTCTACTAAAAACTTTCCCAGACTTTTTCTTCTCTTTTCCCTCCAACCTCTCTACGTTCTCCTCCAACTCCAAAACTTTCCCAGACTTTTTCTTCTCTGTTTCCCTCCCTCTCAACTTCTCCTCCTCTAGTAAAACTTTCCCCAGACTTTTTTTTCTTCTCTGTTTCCTCCCACCTCTCTACGTTCTCCTCCAACTCTACTAAAACTTTCCCAGACTTTTTTCTTCTCTGTTTCCCTCCCACCTCTCTACCTCTCCAACTCTACTAAAACTTTCCCAGACTTTTTTTTCTCTGTTTCCCTCCAACCTCTACGTTCTCCTCCAACTCTACTAAAACTTTCCCAGACTTTTTTCTTCTCTGTTTCCCTCCAACCTCTCTACGTTCTCCTCCAACTCTACTAAAACTTTCCCAGACTTTTTTTCCTCTCTGTTTCCCTCCAACCTCTCTACGTTCTCCTCCAACTCTACTAAAACTTTCCCAGACTTTTTTTCTTCTCTGTTTCCCTCCAACCTCTCTACGTTCTCCTCCAACTCTACTAAAACTTTCCCAGACTTTTTCTCCAACCTCTCTACTCCAACTCTTTCCTCCCACCTCTCTACGTTCTCCTCCAACTCTACTAAAACTTTCCCAACTTTTTTCCCTCTGTTTCCCTCCAACCTCTCTACGTTCTCCTCAACTCTACTTTTCCCAGACTTTTTTCTTCTCTGTTTCCCTCCAACCTCTCTACGTTCTCCTCCAACTCTACTAAAACTTTCCCAACTTTTTTTCTTCTCTGTTTCCCTCCAAACTCTACTAAAAAACCCCCCAGACTTTTTTTTTCTCTGTTTCCCTCTCTCTACGTTTCCCAACTCCCTTTCCCAGACTTTTTTCTTCTCTGTTTCCCTCCAACCTCTCGTTCTCCTCCAACTCTACTAAAACTTTCCCAGACTTTTTTCTCTCTGTTTCCCTCCAACCTCTCCTCCAACTCTACTAAACTTTCCCAGACTTTTTTCTTCTGTTTCCCTCCAACCTCTCTACGTTCTCCTCCAACTCTACTAAAACTTTCCCAGACTTTTTTCCTCTCTGTTTCCTCCCACCTCTCTACGTTCTCCTCCAACTCTACTAAAATCTTTCCCAGACTTTTTCTTCTCTGTTTCCCTCCAACTCTCTAACTCCTCCAACTCTACTAAAACTTTCCCAGACTTTTTCTTCTCTGTTTCCTCCAACCTCTCTACGTTCTCCTCCAACTCTAGTAAAACTTTCCCAGACTTTTTTCTTCTCTGTTTCCCTGTTTTCCCTCCAACCTTTCCCAGACTTTTTTTTCTTCTCTGTTTCCTCCAACCTCTGCTCTCCACTAAAACTTTCCCCAGACTTTTTTTTTCTGTTTCCCTCAACCTCTGTTCTCCTCCAACTCTACCTTTCCCAGACTTTTTTTTCTTCTTCTCTGTTTCCCTCCAACCTCTCTACGTTCTCCTCCAACTCTACTAAAACTTTCCCAGACTTTTTTCTTCTCTGTTTCCCTCCAACCTCTCTACGTTCTCCTCCAACTCTACTAAAACTTTCCCAGACTTTTTTTCTTCTCTGTTTCCCTCCAACCTCTCTACGTTCTCCTCCAATTTTACTAAAACTCTCGCCCACCTTTTCTCTTCTGCATTTTGTTTTCTTAATACATCTCCCTCTAAACCTGCACTGCTGCGAACGCCTCCTTACTCTTGTCCGTTTTATCCTTGTGGCCCGTCGCTTATCGAATTCGTCAGAGCAATTAATTCAACGAAATTCACCTCATTCAATTCGACAACACCAGCCATAATCAACGTTCACCTCTGTTTACAGAGATATTGTCGAATGAGTACTGCTTTAAATATATCTCTTCGACTGCATCTGCTATTGATATAAACGACAGACACTTCCAATGAATCTCGTTATTTCTCCTTGTACAGAGATGACCGTGGTTACACCCTGCCACCTTCGGGTTAGTGACGAGGCTCGCTTAGTAAAAACCGTCGATCTCTTAACGTGATGTGTATTTTTATTAATCTTCACACAGTATATCGCACAACAAATGAAGTGCGCAATTGAACGAGGTGCGTGATATGAATATACGACGAAGTAGTAGTAAGTGAAAAATACAAGGATATGGCGGATAAATAACTATTGACCCTAGACGTAAAGAGGTTAAGATCGTAGCATTCAGAGATGCATCCACGCGTAAGTATACTCCACAAAGTAGTTCTTGGTAAAAAAAAGAGAAACTCTCTGAGATGAACATCATTTTTACCAAAGGCATACGTAGAAACTGGGGATAATTCAACTCTGGGATGTAGCAAGCCGGATCATATATGTAAAGGTCTGAACTGGTGGCACTAAAGAATAGAGCTCTTCTGAACATTTACCATAGGAGTAAAGATGGGATAGCGTCAGGCTTGTGGCATACGAAAGACTGCATCAAATATTGTTATTACTTTTTTATTACAGCTTTTACGCACTCATTAAGATACTTTCTATGGTGTTGAAAATATTTTATTTAATGTGAATTATTTATTATTTGTATTAATATTTCTTAGGTTTATAAATCTTTCCTTGCACTGGAATAAATATATTATCTTCATTACAAAAAATTTCGGCAAGAATCAAATATATTTTTAGATGTAGATATGAATGACATGATAATTAGATGGATTGAACAGACTGAGATAGATAGAAAGATGCATGAACAAATATATATATATATATATAAAATAACAAATATAAAACTTTCGAGAGATAGACAAATATATTTTGGATAGATAGATATGAATAGACAGAGATAGACAGATAGATAGAAACAGATTAATATATATATATATAGAGAGAGAGAGAGAAGAGAGATAGAGAAATAGATATGAACAGACTGAGATAGATATGAACAGGCTGAGATAGATAGATAGATAGATAGATAGATAGATAGATAGATAGATAGATATGAATAGACAGAGATAATTAGATGGATATGAACAGACTGAGATAGATAGAAAAAGATAGAAGCACTTTAATATATATATATATATATATATATATATATATATATATATATATATATATAGAGAGAGAGAGAGAGAGAGAGAAATAGATATGAACAGAGTTAGATATGAACAGGCCAGGATAGACAGATAGATAGAAACAGATTAATATATATATATATATAGAGAGAGAGAGAGAAGAGAGAGAGAGAGAAATAGATATGAACAGACTGAGATAGATATGAACAGGCTGAGATAGATAGATAGATAGATAGATAGATAGATAGATAGATAGATGAATAGATATAAATAGATGAAATAGATGAATATGAACAGACTGATAGATAGATAGATAGATAGATATAAACAGACTTATATATATATATATATATATATATATATATAGAGAGAGAGAGAGAGAGAGAGAGAGAAAGTGAGGAGACAGAGAGAGAGAAATAGATATGAACAGACTGAGATAGATATGAACAGACTTAGATATGAACAGGCTGAGATAGATAGAAAGATAGATAGATATAAACAGACTAATATATATATAAATATATATATATATATATATATATATATATATATATATATATATATAGAGAGAGAGAGAGAGAGAAGACACACAGTGAGAGAAATAGATATGAACAGACTGAGATAGATATGAACAAATACATATGAACAGGCTGAGATAGATAGATAGATAGATAGATAGATAGATAGATAGATAGATAGGAACATATTGAATGTGTGTGTTTGTGCTTGAGTGGGTGCGTGTGTGTCGTGATGGAAAAGATAAAAATATATTTCATCTCAAGGTAACCGGAGCATAATGAAAGCTGTTCTTTAATTTGAATATAGTTTAACGTTTCAAACAAAACATTTCCCATTTGTAACTAATTTTACGCCTAACATTGATATCTAAAATTAGGGAGAAAATGTCAAATTCATTTTTGATCTGCATGGCTTATCGAAATTTCAGTTTCTGAATTGAATTTTAATTATGCAACTGCATAGACGCGTGGCCAGCTTGATAAGCACCGCCCGCTTACGTCCATGTTGGGCCATTTGATTGGCAAGCATTTTGCATTTTTCTGAATTTGGAATTTGTCATCAGATTTTAAATTCACAGCCTGCTATGTTAATCCTCATTATTGCCGTCTTTCCACGGCTTATCAATATTTCTGCTGCTCGGAAAATTACTTCCTGTGTCATCCTAGACAATTTTTCTCGACAAATTTCATCTTGCACATTTATAAAGCTGCTATTTGTTGATGCATTGAATAATGATTCCACATCTGGCCTCATGCTTCTGCTATTTATTTAGAGATATTTGATACAAATCCTAAAATCTATCTATCTATCTATCTATCTATCTATCTATCTATCTATGTCTATTAACATCTATCTATCTATCTATCTATCTATCTATCTATCTATCTCAGTCCTTTCATATCTCTATCTATCTATCTATCTATCTATCTATCTATCTATCTATCTATCTTTCTATCTATCTATCTCAATATATATTTAATTTGACAAATTTTTTTTTTATTGCATATCATCCTCATCTGGTATTTAATACCGACAATCTTTTTATTGTTGCTATTATCTATCTATCTATCTATCTATCTATCTATCTGTTTGCTTTGGTTTACGACATATCAACCTCAATGGGTTATTTAATACCGACAATATTTTTATTGCTGGCTTTATTTTTTCAAAATGTATTGCTGGTAAAATTTTTACTTATCTATCTATCTATCTATCTATCTATCTATCTATCTATCTATCTATCTATCTATCTATCGTTTGACATTGAACGTTTCAAAACAGCATACACCTCACCGAAATTAATAACAAGTTTATAAATTGCATATAAGATAGTCAGGATTCAGATTTTCATCGTTTAAAAAGTAGGGCTTATCGCGAAATTAATTGACTATGGAACCAAAAACGTTTCTCAATACCCCCACGCGTACAGAGTTAGCTTAGTCGGAGCCATTATGATGAATATACTTATGGACATTGTATTAAGTATAATTCTACTGTTCTATGAATTTTAATTCCTCTTAACCCAATTTCGCTTTCGCTCTGGTAAGCATTCTTCATGGTGGCATCAAGCTCATCCACGAAATTGCATACCTCTCATATAAAAATGCTATCTATCTATCTATCTATCTATCTATCTATCTATCTATCTATCTATCTATCTATCTATCTATCTATGCCTATCTATCTATCTATCTATCTATCTATCTATCTATCTATCTATCTATGCCTGTTATCTATCTATCCTGTTATCTATCTATCTATCTATCTATGCCTGTTATCTATCTATCTATCTATCTATCTATGCCTGTTATCTATCTATCTATCTATCTATGCCTATTATCTATCTATCTATCTATTTATCTATCTATCTATGCCTGTTATCTATCTATCTATCTATCTATCTATCTATCTATCTATCTATCTATCTATCTATCTATCTATGCCTGTTCTCCATCTCTCTCTCTCTCTCTCTCTCTCTCTCTATCTATCTATCTATCTATCTAACCCTGAATTAATCTTTATCTTTAGATAAATCAGAAAACTGATGACCCCCTAATTTAACGTAGAAATATTTATGTCACTTTATTGTAGAACAATGATCAAAAAACTAGCCTGCTTCATACTTAGTGCTGTATAATTGAGAATGTGTGTCGAATTAAAACTAAACATATGACTCCGAGTAAGCATTCTACGCACGCCATATTTACTTGAATAGTTGAACCCTAAGAGATTTCCAAACTCATCTGGGGTGTAAAGGTGGATCAATAGTTTACAGTCTATCATCTGCAGCTCTTACTATTATCGTGAGTTGAATACTCACCGGGCACTTTGCACATTTGAATTTATTCTCTACTAAGGGAATGCCTGAATAATCTATATCCAAGGACACGAATCACCCTCGTTGTTCCCCTCATTGCAAATATAAAAAGAAAGAGCAATTTAGTTTTTTTTTGTTTCCCCCCAAAACTGCTGCTTTCATGAATAGACGATCTCGTGGATACTTTCCTGAACATTTAAAACTTAACTTTTTCAATCAAGTGTTAGTAGTTAGCTATTGTTCTCATCTTGAGTGTCTTCAGATTCCTTTTCATTCCTATCACACGGTTTATTCATCATAACCATTTCATGTTAGATAATACATAAGTGACTCTTGAGACTTGCATTAGATGCGTTCCTGTCTAAAAAAAAAACAAAACAAAACAAAACAGACCAATTAAAATGCTTTTTTTATTATTATAAATTGATAGCTATTATTTACAGAGATGTTGGCGCCGGTCTCTTTGTGAATTGATTCTTGATCTTCGACCTGCAGAAAATCCTTCGTCTCAATGTTGCTACTCGGCTGCCGACGGAACAATTGATCAAAGAGTTGAACGTTTGTTGAATTAAATTTTCATTAAACTTAAGCTTTCCTAAAGATCATTTCTTTCATTTGAACAAATTTAGTTTTTTCTTTTCTCTGTTCATAAATTGTGTTTTTAGAATAAGCAAACATTTGGCTCGGTTAGAAAACCAAATTAAATATTTTTTCTTTTTGAAGAAATAAAATTACACAGAGTCTCTCTATCTCTATCTCTCTCTCTCTCTCTCTCTCTCTCTCTCTCTCTCACTAATTCACTAATTCTCTTTTTCTCACTAAGTTTTCTCCCTTTCACTCACTAATTCTTTCTCGTTCACACTAATTTTCTCCCCCTCTCTCATCAATTCTTTCTCTCTCACTAATTCTTTCTCTCTCTCACAAATTTCCCAGTCTCTCATCAATTCTCTCACTCACCGATTATTTCTCTCTCTCACAAATTTCCCCCTCCTCATCAATTCTCTCTCTCACTGTTTCTTTCCCTCTCTCACAAATTTCCCCCTCTCTCATCAATTCTCTCTCTCACTGTTACTTTCTCTCTCTCTCACAAATTTCCATCCACTGTCATCAATTCCCTCTCTCACTGTTTCTTTCTCTCTCTCTCTCTCACACAAATTTTCCCTCTCTCATCAAATTTTTTCTCTCTCTCTCATTTTCCCCTCTCATCAATTCTCTCTCTCTCACTGTTTATTTCTCTCTCTGTTCTCTCATCAATTCTTTCTCTCTCTTTCTCTCTCTCACAAAATTTCCCCTCTCTCATCAATTCTCTCTCTCTCATTCTTTCTCTCTCTCTCTCTCCATTTTTCCCCTCTCTCATCAATTCTTTCTCTCTCACTTATTATTTCTCTCTCAAAAATTTCCCCATCTCTCATTTCCTCTCTCACTGTTTCTTTCTCTCTCTCACTCACCCCCTCTCTCATCAATTCCCTCTCTCCTGTTTCTTTCTCTCTCTCACACAATTCCCCCCTCTCATCAATTCCCTCTCTTTCTTTCTCTCTCTCACACACAAATTTCCCCTCTCTCATCAATTCCCTCTCTCTTTCTTTTCTCTCTCACACCAATTTCCCCTCTCTCATCAATTCCCTCTCTCTCTCAGTTTCTTTTCTCTCTCACACAAATTTCCCTCTCTCATCAATTCCCTCTCTCACATTTCTTTCTCTCTCTCCCAAATTTCCTTCTCTCATCAATTCCCTCTCTCACTGATTCTTTCTCTCTCTCACAAATTTCCCCCTCTCTCATCAATTCCCTCTCTCACTGATTCTTTCTCTCTCTCATCAAATTCTCTCTCTCATCAATTCCCTCTCTCCTGATTCTTTCTCTCTCTCACACACAAATTTCCCCTCTCTCCCTCTCTCACAGTTTCTTTCTCTCTCTCCTAAATTTCACTCTCTCTCATCAATTCCCTCTCTCTCATTCTTTCTCTCTCTCAATCTCTCATCAATTCCCTCTCTCACTGATTCTTTCTCTCTCTCACACACAAATTTCCCCCTCTCTCATCAATTCCCTCTCTCACTGATTCTTTCTCTCTCTCACACAAATTTCCCCCTCTCTCAACAATTCCCTCTCTCACAGTTTCTTTCTCTCTCTCACAAATTTCCACTCTCTCTCATCAATTCCCTCTCTCACTGATTCTTTCTCTCTCTCACACACAAATTTCCCCCTCTCTCATCAATTCCCTCTCTCACTGTTTCTTTCTCTCTCTCACACACAAATTTCCCCCTCTCTCATCAATTCCCTCTCTCACTGTTTCTTTCTCTCTCTCTCACACAAATTTCGCCTCTCATCAATTCTCTCTCTCTCACTGTTTATTTCTATCTCGAACAAATTTACACACTCTCTCATCAATTCTTTCTCTCTCACTGATTCTTTCTCTCTCTCACACACAAATTTCCCCCCTCTCTCATCAATTCCCTCTCTCACTGTTTCTTTCTCTCTCTCTCACACAAATTTCCCCCTCTCTCATCAACTCTCTCTCTCACTGTTTCTTTCTCTCTCTCTCACACACAAATTTCCCCCCTCTCTCATCAATTCTTTCTCTCTCACTTATTCTTATCTCTCTCAAAAATTTCCCCATCTCTCATCAATTCTCTCTCACACAGTTTCTTTCTCTCTCTGACAAATTTCCACCCTCTCTCATCAATTCTTTCTCTCTCACTGATTCTTTCTCTCTCTTTCCCTCTCTCATTAATTCTTTCTCTCACTGTTTCTTTCTCTCTCTCTCACAAATTTCCCCCCTATCTCATCAATTCTTTCTCTCTCACTGATTTTCCCCCTCTCTCATCAATTCTTTCTCTCTCACTGATTCTTTCTCTCTCTTTCACAAATTTCCCCCTCTTTCATCAATTCTCTCTTCCACTGTTTCTTTCTCTGTCTCTCTCAAAATTTCCCCCTCTCTCACTAATTCTTTCTCTTTTTCACTAATTCTTATTCTCACTAATTATCTCTCCTACTAATTTTTCTCTCTCAAACTAATGTCTCTCTCTCTTTCTCTCTCCCAATAGTTTTTCTATCTCTCTCACTAATTCTATCTCTTACTAATTCTCTCTCTCACTAATACTCAATCTCAATTATTCTCTCTTTCACTAATTCTATCTCTCCCACTAATTTTCTCACTCTCACTAATTCAATCTCTCACTAATTCTCTTTCTAATTCTCTCTCTCTTTTTATCACTAATTTTCTCTCTCTCTCACTAATTCTGTCTCTCTCACTAATTTTCTCTTTCTCACTTCACTAATTTCTCACTATCATTATTTCTTTTTCTCTTTCTCTAATTCTCTCTCTCTCAATAATTCTCCCTCTTACTAATTTTATCTCTCACTAAATATCTCTCTCACTAATTTTCTGTCTTTCACTATTCTCTATTCCGCTAATTCTGTCTCTCTCACTAATTTTCTCTTTCTCATTAATTCTCTCTTTCTCGATAATTTTCTCCATCTCACTATTTCTCTCTCACTATCTTTCTCTCTCTAATTCTCTCTCACCAATTCTCGCTCTCACCAATATTCTCTCTCTCTCGCACTTCACTGTTTCACTCCTCACTCACTCACTCACTCTCTCTCTCTCTCTCTCTGTTTGATGTACCATTTATCTTCAGAGCATTGGTAATCCAATATCTCCATAGATGCATGTCTTTCTTCTTCTTCTTCTTCTTCTTCTTCTTCTTCTTCTTCTTCTTCTTCTTCCCCCCCTCCTCCTCCTCCTTCTTCTAATTATTATTATTATTATTATTATTATTATTATTATTTCTGCAATGTATTCGTGAGTAACAATGGTTAGTGAGTCCGAGAGAGAAATCAGTGAGCCCGGTTCGAATTCCGCCAGTGTTTGTTTCATTCATTGTCGTTCATATTGGCAAAGAACGAATCAATCTGTTTTCCCAAGAGCAAGTCTCTAAAGAGTGACTGGAGATTCTTCCCTTTGTGATTGTAAACCAAGTTTAGCAGAAGGAGAAGTCTTAATTCAAAAGCAGCCTGTTTAGAGAATGGGCGCAGTCGGGCTACATTGCCTTAGACACACCACAGTTTCTATAGATAAAGTGCTTGGGGTACCCCTACGACTCCATGGGGTACGAATACACACAGATACACACAGACACACACAGACACACACGCTCAACACTTACGCAATCATAAGCCTCTATTTTTCGTCGTAGTTCGTCCAAAAGTTTTCTGACACTTGTTATGGGGGATAATTCATTGTTTTCCTCGACTACCATTTTACTCTTTACGTTTTCTAAGTGTTACATTTTCCAATCTATTTTACTAATAGTTTCCCCAATACAAGGCTGAATAACCGTTCAAGTATATATATATATATATATATATATATATATATATATATATATATATATATATATATATATATATATATATATATATATATATATATATATATATATATATATATATATATATATATATATATATATATATATAACATCATATATATATATATATATATATATATATATATATATATATATATATATATATATATATATATATATATATATATATATATATATATATATATATATATATATATATATATGATAATCGACTCTCCCGTCGAGATTCGACGTATGAGGGTCAATCAGATCAGTTTCCAGGAAACCGACAACCCGACAACGGCACATGAGATTTGATTATAGTGGTGAAGGCCTTGTGCAGGATCATCCACACTTTTTGAAGGGACGAATACAGAGACCTGGTGCACCGAATGCCACAAGGTTCCCAAACGACCCTCCACAGGTTTTGAATTCAGAGTTGTCCTTCTCCTAGACCAGTTGCAGACCAGTTGCAGACCAGTTGCCATCCAAGGCTATAGAACCGAGTCTGTCCTGCTATATATATATATATATATATATATATATATATATATGTGTGTGTGTGTGTGTGTGTGTGTGTGTGTGTGTGTGTGTGTGTGATGTTGTGGAAGATGAGGGCAGATTATGACAATATTTAGTAAGCCAGTGGTACCCTATCAATATTGGGCTATGCCTCATTTTGGTATTTCTAAAATTCTGGTGCCCCCAACCTGTAGTATTTAATACTTACGTGTTCAATATTTGACTGCAATTCACGTGAAGGAAGCTTAAAAGGCCATTAACCTGGTCTCCGAACAAGCCACCAAAGACCATAGCGTCCATGAAAGAGAAAAATTAAAAAAACAAAACAAAAAGACAGTTAAATATATATAGTTTCAAAACATGTAATAAAGAAGTGAAAGGCAGAAATATAAAATATTTGAATGAAAGTTTATTCTGTAATATACTTTTGATCATTTTAATCATGAAATAATAATGCAAAATGACATTTGAGTTCATGTTGGTATAGTATGCCGAAGGGTGCACATCCTAATCATGCCCCACCAAAATATCACAATGCCCCACCGGTGGGTCATGTGCCCTACGTTGGGAATCACTGTGTTACAGATAAAGAATATTGCTAAAGTAATCGACATGATGTCCGACAGAAGAAGGCTGAGAATACCTTAGACTGTTTGAATCTAAATTGACAATGAATAGGACATTTTTTTTTTTTGCTTAAGATGGCAGTTAAGATTTCTCTGACCCATAATGAACATATAATATATAATAGAGAACTGAAAGGAAGAAATAAAATATTTGAATGAAAGTTTATTCTGTAATATACTTTGATCATTTTAATCATGAAATAATAATGCAAAATGAAATTTGAGCTCACGTTGGTATAGTAAGCCGAAGGGTTCACATTCTACGCATGCCCCACAAAAATATTACCATTCCCCACCGTAGAGGCAGTTATCATTGAGTTAAGCTAAACAAACTAAGATACTCCGAAATAAATAAACAAAATAAATAAATAGACATATGTTACGAATAAACACACAACAACTATAAGAATTTAATAATAATAATAATATTAATAATAATAATATTAATATTGATAATAATAATAATAATAATATTAATAACAAAATACAAGGACCTTGAAATAGAAATCTCGAAAATGTGGCACATGGGAACATCAACAATCCCTGTTGTAGTTGGAGCCCCAGGACTGGTTGGAAAAGATTGCAGTAGACTAATTGAAGGGATTCCTGGAAGTCCATGCCTAAAGGAGATACAAAAAATTGTTCTGACAAGTACAGCCTACACTTTACGAAGGGCTTTATCTATGTAATTTTTTGGGGGGTGGGGGGCCGTGGAAAGTGTCATGATGCCATTTCTAACCTTAGGGGCCCGGAAAGAAATGTGTAAACGCCAGAAATCAAAGAAAATAAAAAAATAATAAAACAAAATAAAAAAAATAAAATAATAAAAAAATAAATAAAAATATTAATAATAATTAACAGTAGTGAATAATTAATTAAAAAAAAAAAAGCACATGGAAGGCATTGATAACAAATGCGATATAAAAGTCAACAATTAATTTTAGGCAGTAGTCATGAAATAATTCCTTCCTAACTTATAATTAGTTTTAATCAATAACCATTAGAATAATTCAAAATGGCTGTTCCCGCCTATTCAAAAGCCGCTAGAATAACCGAATAAACAGGAAATGATTGACCTTACTACTTATCACGCCGAGAGGACTAATATATATAAAAATAGTCGATCTAGTATCGAACTCAATGTCATCTGAAGTTTGCGTTCAAGTATGAGATGGAAACTCACCAGTCTGTAATGCTGTCTGTCTCCACACGGCTTATATTTAGATACGCTCTATATCGGGACATTAAACAGTTTACCTTATGAACGTAGCATACTATAAAACTCTATTTTATCAAACACACACACTCATTTGTTTATATCGCTTATGACAAATAAATTGTTGAACTTTATCCATTTCATAATGTGTGACGTCAGTTGTAATGGTGACACATCTAAAGATGACAGTTCATCTAGACAAGTATGAATAACACACACACACATACACACACACACCTAAACTCTTAGCAATATTTTTGACTTTTCTGCTTTAATTCTGATCGACGTATTTTATTTTAGCATCAAAATAGTATAATATATATAAAAATGATTTAATCATACTAAAGGCCACTTTAACATAGTTCTAAAGTATATACAAAAATAATTAAAAAAATAAAAGTCCTAAAATTAACCTATTGTTATAAATATACATATCTATATATTTATATCTATATATATATATATATATATATATATATATATATATATATATATATATATATATATATATACCAGATCTTATCTTAAATAACAACTCAAAAAGACTGTTTGACGAACACAAGGTCTGACCAAAATTCATGTTAAAAAATAAAAAATAAAACATGAAAACTACAGACAAAATTTCATTTTTTCCATCAAGACATTCATTTCTGTAGGTCTCTGCTACCAGCAAGCAGATTTTTTTTCTCCTGATGATGGTCATGTTGGCCGAAACTAATCGAGGAATCTAACTGAAATAATAATAGAAACGAAAGTATATTAATATAGAAGCCAGTGTGTCTGAAGATTTTAATTTTTTAATATTTTTAATGTTCAATATATATATTTTTATATAAAATGTGTATATATATATATATATATATATATATATATATATATATATATATATATATATATATATATATATATATATATATATATATGTTGTGTTCACGAGAGAGAATTTTGTTGTTTGTTCTTCACGTGTTACTTCGAATCCTCGTCGCCACTTGTTATGATGGTGCAGGTCCTTGTACCACGGTGATGGTCCAAGGTAGATCCAATAAAGAAGAACTCGAACACAGATATGGAAT